AACATCTAGTATTGGGTTTGTTCTCTGTTTTTTTTTCCAGGAATATCCACTGGAGATTGCAAATGTCTGAAAATATAGGACTAACCATAAATCATTTCAAATGGGTGTTAAATTAATAATTTTATGACTTGGAATATCAATTTACTGACATCAAAAAATCAATATTATTTACTGTTATTTATTTTTTTTCAATTTGGCCTACCTTTTACAAGGAAATCTGCGTTTTGTTTGAATTGCTGGAGTGCTTCGAAATTGAGGATGAGGGAATGGTTTGAGTATCACATCAACATCATCTTCACCATCATCATCATTGATATTGTCATCATTTGATAACTCTGTAGGTTCCTGTACCGGTACTTCAATGTTGGTATTGTCACCCTCTTCTGAATTGTGGTCAACATCAATATTAGTTTCCTTAGAATAATCATCAAAGTCATTATTAATTAAATCTTTGATCAACAATGTACTATCTGATAGTTCTTTCGGGGCTTGCCTCCCTCCAGTTTTATTAGTTTCTCTGGTAAAGCGAGCAATATCTTTTCTTGCTGAGTCTTCAATTCGTCTCCATAATTCTTTTAAGCGCCTTATTTCTATCAAACCATACACTACTGCAAAATTCAGTCTGAACTTTTTACAAATCCATTTCTTTTCTTTTATTCACATTCCCATCTGTCTTCCTCTAATTCAGCAATATGTATCTTTACTATCTCTTAAAATTTGTCCTTTTCTTGCTCTGTCGAATTGGCAGATCTGTCTCTCTTTGCTTTCTTCATTTTTTTTCTTTACACATGTGGACAGTAGTCTGTTTCATACCAGACTGAAATTTCCCTTGGACTTTCCATTATACAGAGCACTTATAAAAGTTCATGTGAATCTCGATTAATTGTTTTAAATCATTTGATAAACCGGTCTTTGTCAATTTCACTAAACGATCATTTTCATTAGGCTCTCATTGAGACCAAGTTACAGGTTTGGAAGAGATAACGGAATTTATATAAAAAAAAAGTTGGCCCTTACTACAAGATTCACAATATCCTTGCCAACATGCTGAATTTAAATCTTGGTTATTGAGCTTACACAAATATTTAGAAAGCCAGTTAGTGTCATATGTTTCACCTAAACCCTTTAACATTAAAAAAAATCTCATGTCGGCGACATTTACATTGTGGACTATCTTTCTGTAGCAATACATTTGTTGGGCGAAGGGAAAAAATGTAGTCCGAGAAACTGGACAATCTTTATAAAGATCAGGAAACAAGGCATTATGCCTCTCTTAAAAAAAGTGTTAAATAATGTTTCTGTTTTTTTCCCTCTCATCTGTCGCAGTATTGACTACTGAAATGTAATCTTTTAAGCCAGGCATTGTATAAACTAAGTCAGTTCTGTAATAGAACTCTATAATCTTATCGGTGATTTCCTTCGTTGGAGGTTTTCTACCAGGGGCAAGAACGGAGTTCATTTTATTGTAAAGATCCAAACCAATTTGAGCTGCAAGGCCTGAAACAACTGCTGCCTGCTTGCTAGGCGAATTTGGCAAATCTTGTCTACATTTTGAGACAAGTGACCAAATGACTGGGGTGTGCTATTATGCTTTTTTATTGGGGGTCACTTTAACAGTTTTTTGTTCTTGTTTCGATGTTGTTATTTTTTTTTTTTTTTAACTCTTTCTGCAGTTTTCTTTCGTAATATATCACGTTCTTCAAGCTCATTAACATTTCTTTCTGTTTCTTGAAATGCTTTAGCCTTTTGTTTTCATTTAATTTATTTTCAGGGTCTGCCCTTTTTCTCTCTGAACGCTTTTACTCTCTCTGCATTTGAAGAGGTTCTTTTAGCATCCATATTAACTTTTCCATAATGAAAATTAGCTCTCAATAATTTTCAGGTAGTTATAATGTTTTAAACCATATAACTCTAGGAACTGTTATAGTGTGATCAATTGTTGAAATAAAAATTGGATAAACAAACAACAGGGTCCCTTTAAATTAATAAAATTAAATGTGAGTTATCATTATAATATTCTACATCAATCTACTGCAAATTAATACACAGTTCATACATTGTAGTAATGGGTAGTTATCAATGATATTGACCACAAATGGCTGACAGTTGATTTTTTTCTTAAGGAGATAAGATTTAGTCTTTTATAAACTAATTATGCATGCTATAAGGAGCACAAAGCATTGATGCACCCTTATATCACAAAATCTTAATATAAACTATGAAATTACTCACATTATAATTGATTAGATTAAGAGAGTATTGTTCAGTCAGGAAGCAGTCAGATTTATTCCAAATAAGCACACTCCAATAGGGATAATTGAGAAATGTAACGCACGTAACATTACGTCCGTTACACTTTTAGACTTGAATTGTCCAAATTTTATAATTTTATTTTCAAATATTAACATATCTGCTATAAAGAAATGTTCCAATAATGTATTTGAAAATCAGACCCTTGATTTCAATTATAAAAAACTCGCCCGTTTATAAATTAATTAGCTGTCATGTACTAGCTTTTACTAAAACTTATAAGGCTTATTACTGATCATAGCAGGTGCTGTCAGATTTGCAATTAAAAATATAGCCTACACTATAATTTGCCCCCATCTAAATAATGTTATAGGCCATATTTATAGTCATAGATATTATACATGTAAGAAATCGAAAAATGTTCACTACACAACGGCGAATAGGCTAGTCATTTGCTATGAAATCTCCCCGTTGGCAATAATGTTCCCATGCTGAACGCCGATTACGATCCTTGGGAAATTTATAGAAGGACACACCACATCCTTTCGTCAAGACATTACTGCAGCCAAAGGCAACACACCGCACCATAAGATTGCGTCTTCCACGTCTTGGCGGTGTTGCTAAAATGACGTCGTGGGAAATCTGCCTCGTTCGTGGGAGAAAAATGATATGCATATTCAGAGGGACGTCCTTTGACCTAGTTAAATAATAATTTTATATCGATTGTTAAACCATAGCTATGACGTAATCTATTGTGATTTTAATCCAATATCCAGAAGAGTGACTTACCTCAGTCCTTAACACAGTTCACCAACTGTCTATTATAAACCTATAACTGTCAATTCTTAAATAGGAATTGTACATTATTAATTGTAAATATTGTCCTTTAAGAATGGACAAATAGGTTAAAGGATTTGTGCAAAAAATTCTTTTTGGTTTGTATTTGACAACAAATTGTTATAAAAATTGGTCATGAGTGTATGACCGATGGTTTTTAATGTGATTATTGGACTCCATTTCCAATATTGTTGTAATGTGGGTCGTTCTCGAGTTTGACAATTTTACTATCATTGTGGGCCTTTGCTTTCAGTTATCGAAATGTCAATTCTTTTTTTTTTTCGATTTTTCCACACCTTCTCAAGCAAAAGCTGCAACAGCTGCATCAATATTATTACATGTGTCGACCTTCTGTAGTGGCAACGTCGTAAATGAGTGTATTTTGGAACATTTTTGCAAAAACGGAAGTGCCACAGGTCCACATGTGCAAAAAGTCGAAAATCGGCTCTAGAAGGCGCATTTTTGCATCGATTTTCTTCGGGTTTTCATTTTTACAATCTATCTGTTATTTCTGACCTGATAGCACTTAAAAAATTGCGAAATTCGGAAATTCCTAGCTCACTTTTTTCGATCAAATTTTTCAATTTTTTTGCAGCTTTTTTGTTTTTGCATCGATTGATCTGAAATTTTAAACGCAAAGAGACTTCACTAATGTAAATAATATAGTACAGTCAAATATTGTACGTCATTTCCGCTTTTAAACAGGAAAGCGACTGAATTTCAGATCTACTTTCGGTTGAATAACTTCCAGTGTAATTTATGAAGAGCAACGACACAAATATTGATCGGTAGTCAACTTTATAACAAAAAAACAAAGAAAACAAAATTCGGACCGGAAGCGATATTTCGGCCGCCATTTTGATATGACACACTTTTGTAAAACGAAAAATGGTGTTTCTATGGAGAAGTGGGCGTATATAATTTTGATGTGTATGTAAACTGCTATCGATTGCCAACAAAAACCAGGAAGCCGATTTTTGAATTTTCTCTTTTCCTTTTTTGCAACTTCCGGTTGAAGTTTTTGCAAGTTCTATCTCGTGACCTTGACCTTTGATGACCTTTATAAGGTCAAAGGTCATTGACCTTGGCTATCAGTTGACAATTTGACATTTGACCTCCGACTAGTACTTCCGGTTTTATAGCGTTCCGAAAACATTCAAATTCGCAACTTTGGACTGCTCTAGCATGTGAGCTAAATAACCTAAAGGGTCAATTTTTTCGGATTCTTGATGTGCTTTTCATGATTTTCTTTTCAGTGATATCAATTGTATTTTTAAAGCCAAATTGAAATTCTTGATTTTTTCAAAGGTGTTTTTTTACCATATGTATGTCTCTTTGAGCTTGGTGTATGTATATCTTATGACCTACTTGATGTAGAACCTTGAAATTTGGAACACAACTAGACATGTTGAATATGAATTCACTTATGACAAAAAAGTTGAGGTGGGCGTGGCACATCCGGGTTGAATTACTAATTGTTTACATTTAGGAGCAGGGGCATATCTCGCATAGGATACATTTGTTCAAAAAGAGACTTCGTACACAATTACCTCATCCTTTTATCTAGTTTGTGTTAACAGCTCAGTTGTTTCAGCTTTATAGTTCCAAAAAAGGAACGGGCTTTAAAATTTTCAATTTTCGATTTTGACCTTTTTTGACTTTTGTTGACCTATATCCTTTGACTTACATGATGTAGAAGCTTGAAATTTTGAACATAACATAACATTTTGAATATCAATTAACCTATTCAAAAAAATTGAGGTGGGCGTGGCACATCCGGGTTCAATTACTCATTATTGACATTTTTGGCCAAAGGCATAACTCGCTAAGATTACATTTGTTAAAAATGGAACTTTGCTCACAATTACGTCATTCTGTGAGCCACTTTGTCTTAGAAGGTCAGTTAGTTCAGTTTCATAATTCAAAAAAAAGGAACAGGTTTTGGAAATTCTCTATTTTCAATTTTTGACCTTGACCTTTGAAGACCTTTACCTTAATTGGGTCAAAGGTCATTAACCTTGTCTATTAGTTTATGCTTTCATATTTGACCTCTGACGTCTACTTCCGCTTTTATACCTGTCCAAAAACATCCAAATTCGCAAATTTGGACTGCTCTAGCTCGTGACCTAATTATCTTTAAGGGTAAATTTTTGTGGATTCTGAATGTGCTCATCGTGCTCTTTCCAGTGATATATAATGCAAAATTGAAATTTCTGAATTTTTGAAATTTCGGTGTTTTTTTACAATATGTTAGCTTCTTTGAGCTAGTTCTATGTATTTCTTATGACTTATTTGCTGTAAAAGCTTGGAATTTGGAACACAACGAGACATATTAAATATGAATTGACGTATGACAAACAAGTTGAGGTGGGCGTGGCACATTAGGCTTAAATTACTTATTATTTACATTTTTATCAGGGGTATAACATACATTTGTTCAAAACAGGACCTTGCACACAAATACCTCACCCCTTTGGCCATTTTGTGTGAAAAGGTCAGTTGTTTCCGCTTCGTAGTTCAAAAAGAGGAACAGGGTTTAAATTTTGCACATTTTCAACTTTTGACCTTTACCATTGATGACCTTGACTTTTGTAGGATCGAAGGTCATTGACCTTGGTTAAAGATTTATTCCTTCATATTTGATGTTCATCGTCAACTTCCGGTTTTATAATGTTTGTATTTTCAAAGTTTGATGACTCATATCTAGTGACGTTGACCTTAAATGACCTTCCCCTTAACATGGTCAAAGGTCATTGACCTTGGAAATCTAATCATACTTTCATATTTTATGTCTGGCTTTAACTTCCGCTTTAACAACCTTCCAAAAAAGCGAAATTTTCAAAATTATTAACTGCTTTAGCACGTGACCTAATTGGCTAAGAACGTTGATTTTTTCAGATTCTCTAGCAAATTGGCACAAGAGCAAAGTCCCACTCAGTACTACGAGTGGTTCTAGTTGTCAATTGATTTGCAAATAAAAACATTGAAAATAATTTTGATCTCTATTTATTTGTATGAGACAGAATCAAGTTGGAAATGATTTTCACAAGTATGACAATTAATACTTATATATTTTATATTGCAGACCGATAGGCCCTTTTTGGAGAAACTGGACCCATAAAAATAAACGATAATAAGGCCTTGGTTTGAGAAAGATTGAAGCTATGAACACAATCTTTTGCTGAAAGACACGAAAGCAATTGGATACAGATTGCTTTGAATTCTTTAAAGTTTATATTTAATACCAACCTTGACCCAAAACTTTAAGGAAGATGTTAAATGCTGATTGGAACCAGATCAAGTATCAGACCGATATTCCCCACCAATCATGTCTATGTGATACATGAAACATGTGATAAATTTGAGCTCATGTTAGATTCACTCAAAAAAAAAAAAAACACAGACAAAAACGCCAGTTTCAAAATGCCAGTTAAATTAGATCACTGAAATTGAATCTGTAACCTTTTATCAGAGGTAAAAATGCATTGGTAAGAAATATCTAGAAAAAAGTAGAAACTAGAACTGTTCTATTAACAGTACGGATGCACGGCATCTTACAACATTCAGGTACATATAAAGATGGTCTATTGCAATTACATTGATGTAAATACTTTTCGGCATCTCTAAATGCAAATATTCGAAAGTGCGAGGAGTTTATGACTAGGAATAAAAGAATGTTTGTCAATTAATAAAAACCATGTTTGATGAAATCCCGTTAAGACATAAGACATTTGGTAATGCGCAAAGTTCGGTGAAATTTGGATAAGAAATAAAGTTGGGAAATTAAGTTGGGGTATGCCTTTAAGGTGCTTCCGTAAGCTCAAATTACAGTATTACATGGTTCAATCCAGGCTGGACATAAAACATATTAAACAAATATAAAAGGGAGTGTGTCTTTAAGATGAAAATCTGGCATTTTGATTTTAATTAGATTTGACAGACCGATGACAACGTATTTAGACTACAATAATATTGCCCTATCTCTATTAAGTCACTTGTTAGAAGGCTTTAAAGATGCCAACTCAACTTTTAGTGACTCATAAAACCGGAACCACGTATCGGACACGAAAAATATTAACATCACATAAAAGCTGTAGTCAATATTTATTATTACTGTACATCATCAAGTGCGATATTATTTGAAACCATTAAAGAGATAATACGTCTTAGAATAAACATAAAATTTAAATATTTTAAACTTGGCCAATAAGAGCATATATTCATCAGTAGATATACCTGGTGTCATAAATAACATAACAGTAGCCTTATATAATCCGATAAATCTAAAAAAAAACGTGATAAGAATGCAATTAACTATTGCAAAACGTTTAATATTAAGCGATTTTCAATAATGACTTAATTCTATGAATATTCCAATTTTCTAAATTTTACATGGAATCTGCTGTATCTTTATTACACTAGGTAAGTTCACTGATGAATATATACTATATATTGACCATTCTTGAGCATTAAATTTTATGTTCATTCTCAGACGTAGTATCACTTTAAATAAGTAAATAAATAATCTGAAGGTGGTAGCGTGCTGATACAATTAGGGATTGAGATGCAGCACTGCAAAAGTGCAACATTGAACAATTTAGAACCCCTATAAAACCAAAAGGTGTGATTTGACCCCAAAGGTCATAAGAAGGTCAAGGTCAGCTATTATCATCATGGTAAATATGAAGCTCATCTAAGGTCAAGGTCATGAGATACGAGCCTTCAAAATTCAAAAAAAATGAACCGGAAATTGCAAAAAAAAAGCAATATTTGTGTGTTCTTTCATTTGACACCAAAAACATCAAAATTGGATAAGCAATAATCTCTGAATAAAATTT